AACCACAACCTTTCTGATACACCCCAGGATGCCATTTGATTCTGTCAATTTTGGAGAAAACATTTTGGTTGTTTTCTACCATAACACAATGTTCTGTTATGCAAAATCTATATAGGATCGTTTTCTTTCTTTTAGTGGGCTTTATGAAACCATGTGGTTTCAGAAGGGCGTGGGAGTCTGGATGAGGATGTGCCGGAACATGTTGAAGACTGAACTGAGAAAAGGAAAAGATCATCAGTAGCATTACTAGGGTGTATAGGAAGGCATACCTTCTATTCTGAACAGGACTGGAAAAAGAGACGAATTTACAAAACCTTAAATGAATTCAACAGGATATCTGCTATTCCTGTCATTTCTGTAAATGTATCTGTTAACAGATTATACCTTCTCTCTAGATGTTGTGCTCCTCTATGTATGTAGGTGACTAAACATTGATAAATGCTTTCTTTGGAAGTGAAACTTTTATTTCACTCAGATACCTGACATTACTCTAATAAGAGGTTTTCAGCCTGTAAATGTGAAGTGTTTTCCTCCCAGCTATAGTTTAAAATTCTTGGAAATGTGTATCTGAAGTGTTTCCTTTAATAGATTTGAGCAGTCTGAGCTGATGGATTTTTCTGTGAGTTACTCATGGGCATCACTTGCCTTTCTGTTCAGGTTAGAGGCTTTTGTGTTTCCTTTTTAGGGAGTTAAATACAACGCACTGCCTTGTAGCTGGAGAAAAAAAAACACTCTCAGTTCACTCCAAGAGGCACACTGGAGATTTTGTAGACTTTTTTTTTTTTTAAAATAAAGTCAATTTTGCTTCTCTTCAGTACACACACTGAGGTTTTGATTACTGACTTCTTTAAGATATTAGAAGAGGGGAAAGAAATAGCCGCTTTCTGCTTCTTAGTTAGCTAATAACTTCTTTTCAGTATTGCCGTTAGTATATGGAGCAGGTTCACTCCTGTGCCAGCAATATCAGCTAAAGGCCAGTTTAGATCACTTAAAATATGCACCACTGTCTTCCTTTTTTAGACACATAAATGTAAATACTTTCTGGCTATGGCGAATAACTGTGGAATGAAAATGCTGAGAGAGCAGAGGAGTGGAGAGGGAAGGAGATGGGGATGAAAAGGACTTGGTTGTGTACTTCACCCTCACACCTGCTTTGCAGTCAGCCTTTGCTTCTTGCTTTCCTTATGTTTGACAGGCAAGGATGTGCTGGGGCAAATGAAGACACTCAACTGCTTCAGCACTTAGGGAAGCAGAAGTAAGAATGACTAGTAAAAAACCAGTGATCAAAGAGGACGGCTATGTTGTCGTTTTGTTTACATTAGGAGACTTTGCCAGAATGGAGTCATATGAGCTCTTTGTTTGCAGTATTATATGGAACAGCTCACTGGTGCAGATTACAAGTTGTATTACATTGCTAACACAGATTTAAGGTGTGGTCACAAACTTAGTTGTCTGTCTCTGTATTTATCATCTCCATTTTCATAGACTGTGTATCAGATTCTTCCCATCAAATCTGACCATTTACAGTACAGAATCTCTCTGGGAAATGTCTGTCTAGACTCTCCTTTTGTTTAAAGGAGAGAAGTAGCTGCTTCTGGAGTGCTGTCCATCTGAATCAAGTATACCTGGGGCTTAAACAGGCCAGGTGAATTGGACTCAAGAAGTTCCTATTTCTCTCCACTGACTTAAAGAGAATGTGAAGAAACAGTTTGCATAACGTTCCTTCTGTTGTGAAAGTCTAATGTTAAGGAGACTGCTCTGATCTTGAATGTCTGTAATTACATAAATGTAGTTCTGAAAACATACTGTTTCTATCACAAAACTTTAATTGGACATAATTGTGAAGACATAGGCTGATATAGGAGGTAAACTTGAGAACCCCTTGAGAAAACTGCATTGTCTTGTCATCTGCCTGGTTAAGAAAAGCATATACATATACGTATACATATGCATATACATATACATACATTTTTACTTAATAATAGTCTAATTTAAAATGAAAATAGATATATCATTGCCAGAATGTGGCTTTCTTATTTATAACTGTCATGGTTTAGGGCTGGGCCAGCCACTAAATCCTGGACAGATGCTCTCTATTAACCCCTCTCCCCTCCCCAGAAGGGAAGAGAAAAGAGAATAAGGGAGAGAGACTTTACGGGTTGGAAAATAAACTAACAGATTTAATGAAACAATAATACTAATACTACAGATAAAATTGTAAATATGAAAATAACGAAATAGATACAAATATGTACAAATATATACAAAACCAATATAAAATCTTCCCCCCCCCCAATGACGAACACGTCACCAGAGGCTCTGCAGAGCTGGGCACTGGAAAAGTCCCAGACCAAACTCAGCAGCAGTGGGAGCAGGATACAGAACAAACAAATCAGGACCAGCGGCACACGAATGAGCAGGATTCCGCTCAGGCCTTGGCCTCTGCAGGATCAAGATGGATGGAAGGGTCGAGATGGAAGGAACGGTGGACAGGGCAAAAAAAGGAAAAGGAACAAGACCCTCATGATCTCTCGGTTTTTATACCAAGTATGACGTATGTGGGATGGAATACCTCGTTGGTCAGTTTTTGGGTCCGCTTCTCCCCCCGTAGGTGCAGACACAGCACCCATGATGAGACAACTGACCTTGAGCATATCTTCTAGCAGCGCTGTTTGGGAAAAACATGCTGCCAGTTTTCAGCAAATTCAGTCACTTAGAAGAGATTTAACTGAAAAGTAAAATCACTAAATAGAAAATTAGTTCTATTTAGCTCAAACCAGGACAATAACCTTTGAGATAACTCTCTTCAATCTATTCTGAGTTCCTATTTGGAGCTCTCTTCAGTCTGGAGAAGAGAAGGCTGTGGGGAGACCTGTCTTCCAGTAGATGAAGGGGGCCTGCAAGAAAGCTGGGGAGGGACTGTTTACAACGATGTGTAGCGATAGGAAGAGGGGCAGTGGTTTTACACTAGAGCAGGGTAGATTAAGATTAGACATTAGGAAGAAGTTCTTTACAATGAGGGTACTGAAACACTGGAACAGGTTGCCCAGTGAGGTGGTGGAGGCTCCCTCCCTGGAGACATTCAAGATTAGGCTTGCTGGGGCTCTGAGCAACTTGATCTGGCTAAAGATGTCCTTGCTCACCATAGGGGGGTTGGACTGGATGGCCTCTAAAGGCCCCTTCCAACTTGATGCATTCTATGATTCTATGCTATGATTCTAGTACTCTTCTTCATTACCTGTAAGAAATAGCATACTGTTAACTGATACAGAGAACAGACATCAATTTGAAACAGTACTTTTTTGCAAATGTATGAAGACTATATCTGTTCAGGTGACAAGTTTTGAAAACATTGGAGTACAGAAAATCTATTTTAAACTGAATATTTAGATAAATGTGAATTCTCTTGGAAGAACTGTGGTTCAGAGAGGCTTTACCATGTTGCAGAATGGAACTCACTGAAATTATACAGCTATGTCATGCTTTGATGCGTGTTCAGTTTTTTCCCTTTAAAAAGCTATTTTATTGAAGTTAATTTATTGTAATGATTGTAGTTTGTGCTGAATTTATCCTTGGAGGGCCAGCAGATCATTGTTTTTTCTCTGAAATTAGATAGAAGGATCCAGATGACAGATTTCAAACCCATCAGGTGTTTAAAATATGCCCCTCAGCTAAAAAGAAGTATTGTTAAATCTGTCATGGCCTTTTTATTGCTTTGTAGTACATTTGACAACTGCAGCCATAAAAGACTGAACCTACAAGTAGCCCAGTCAGCCAAAAGTGGAGTAGGTCAGTGGTTGATTTCTTTGGCTACCCCAGGGAGTTTGATAGAGTTATAGCCCTGGTTTATGGAATCATTAAATCCATCATGGTATAAGCTCCCATTGAGGCAGTGAATTTGTTCCCATAGTTTCTTCCAGATACTGCGGTAGACATCAGAGAAGTAATGTAAGTAAGTGCAACATGGAGGGGAGAAAAAAGGACACCCTCCCCACCTCCAACAAAACAAGAATCCCATATCTCTAAAGGCTCTTCGGTAATAATGATAGTAATAATAAAATGTATCTGGGTTAGTACCTCGTGCTGCGTTTCTCAGCTGGCACTCCTTCAGAACTGTCACGTTAGACTGAGTGCTGATAATTCGTATTCCAGAATCCTTTTATCTGAACAGAGCTACGTCTCCACTGTGTGTTTTTGGCAAAGAAGAGCACTGCTTTTCTTTAAAAAACAATGCAAGATTTTTTTTGCATCTTGCCAAACTGCAACTAATCATGGAGAAGAAGTATCCTGTTTGTGCTCTTGTAGTAACTATAAGTACTTGCAGTCAAATCAGCTTTCAGCACAGGGCTTATTACTGCCTGAGTCAGAGAAAAGGATGTGTTTGGATTATTTATTTGCATGCATATGTAGATGTTTATATTAACATTGATTTGGAGAGGCTGGTACACTTTTGTCTTGTTTGCTTCTTACTGCTTCTTTCTCCAATTAGAAAAAAAAAAAGCCATAATCAAATAAAGCAGACACTGTTTGCTTATTCAGTAGACCATAGGAAGGATAGCCTATAACTTGGTGTGCATTAACAGAAGACTTATTTTGTAAGAGAAGAGAGCAAAACCTTTATCCAGAAGGCTTCATGATCATAGTCCAGCATAAGCAGTCTCTGATAGTTCTAGTGAATTTTGAGGGTTATCTTTGAGAGTGAGTGTGCAAGGCTGGAGCAAAATGAAGTACCATTAGTGATGCCCTTTTTATGAGAATGTTACCCTGCAACAAGGTCATCCTGAGTTAACTGTGCTTATGTCTGAACTCTTCCTGTGATTTCAGATTCCAGCAGGGTGACTACCACATTGATGTCTGCATCAATGACTACCTGGATGTGTTCTGCCCTCACTATGAAGACTCGGTGCCAGAAGATAAGACTGAACGCTACGTTCTGTACATGGTGAACTTTGATGGCTACAGCTCCTGCGATCACACCTCCAAAGGGTTCAAGAGGTGGGAGTGTAATCGACCGCATTCCCCGAACGGACCATTGAAGTTCTCAGAAAAGTTCCAGCTCTTCACACCCTTCTCACTAGGATTTGAATTCAGGCCAGGCCGGGAATATTTCTACATCTGTGAGTATATAGAGATTTGCTACTCTTGCATGACAAGTGCTAATTTTTCACCTATGCTCTGTGGAAATACAGAGGGCAAAACGGTATATAATGCAGATGTCTTACAGTGAATGAAAGCTTAAATATCCCTGAATACATTAGCTAGGAATCTAGCCATTGAAAATGAGATTAAATCAGTTTCTTTACTCACATGAAATAACATGTCACTCTGTTCACTGAACCATGGCTGACTTTTAAAGCGAAACACACTATTAATGCTTATTCCATCACTCTGAGGTGGAGGAAGAAGAAGCGGAGGAGGAGGAGGGGACAAAAAGGGTAGGATGGAAGCTGTCCCCCAATATGAAGAAAAGTAATTAATCCTTTGCATGTGACATTCTCAGTAATATATATCACCTAAGGAAAGTGAGGTCTGCATAGTTTGTAGGTGGTATGGATGCTGATGTCACTAGTCCAGTGGTATTTGGACAGGGCTTTGGATTCTTTGAGAACAACTG